CTCAACCTAGCCAAATATGCATTTGAGGTCTCTGCTAGAAAATTTTTGGGCTTCATAGTCAATAGCCGAGGAATAGAGGCTAACCCAGAAAAGGTTAGAGCTGTAATAGACATGCAATCATCTTCAAACACAAGAGAGGTTCAATGACTAACTGGGAGGATAGCAGTATTAAGTCGCTTTGTCTCTGGGTCAAACGACAAATGTCAGCCCTTCTTTTAGATCTTAAGAAAGGCATTCCAATGGAATGCCCAATGTGAGGAGCCATTCAAGGATCTTAAAGAATATCTCAGCTCTTCTCCTATCCTGTTGAGCCCCAAATAAGGAGAGGTGCTTATCCTTTACCTTGTTGTCTCAGATTTCTCAACCAGCGTAACACTGGTCAGAGAGTGAGATAAAACTCAACAACCAGTTTACTACTGCAATAAAGCTCTAGGGGGGGGGGGCAGAGGAATGGTACCCGTAGATGTAAAAGCTAGTCTTAACTCTGACAATAGCAGCAAGAAGGATCAGGCCATACTTCCATGCTCACACAATTGAGATCCCTACTGACCAACTAATGAAGCAAGTATTACATAAACCAGAGTCATCAAGGAGGCTGGTCAAATGGGCGATAGAGCTTACCGAGTTCGATATCAGATACAAACCTAGGACTACAATCAAATGACAGGTATTAACAAATTTCATCGCAGAATTCACAATAGGTCCAAAAGCATCCATGGAGGCAACCCAGCTGGTTCAGTAGACGGAGTTGCCAATGCCCAAGGTAGCGTTTTAGGTCTTATGTTGACCTCCCCTGATGGAATAGATATCGAGTATACTCTCAGGTTCGGATTCAAGGCTTCAAACAAAGAAGCAGAATATAAAGTCGTCATTGTCGAGCTCAACATGAAACATTCTATGGAGGCAGAACAGTTTGAAATCTACAGCGACTCCTAACTAGTGGTGAAACTGATTGAGGAGACATATAAAGCTAAGAGAGAGAGAATGATTCTCTACCTAAGGAAGGTACAAGAACTAATGAAGAAATTTGTCCAGGTTAAAGTAGTGCATGTCTCCAGAGCTAAAAACTCTCGAGTTGACGCTTTAGCAAGGCTAGCCACAAACCTCTCAAGAGAACCTGGATAGACTGATTCTAGTTGAGCACCTTGTTGAGCCATCAATGAGCTTCAAGGATGAGAAAGTGTTCCTGGTCCAGATTTAGCCAACCTGGATGGACTCAATCAGAGAGTATCTTCATAATAGAACCTTACCAGAAGACACCAAAGAAGTAGCACAACTAAGAGCCAAATCGTCTAGATTCACTCTCCTCCAGGGGAACTTATACAAACGAGGCTTTTCAGCTCCTCTTTTGAGGTGTGTAGGAGATAAAGAAGCTTATTACATTCTGAGAGAAATCCATGAAAGCATTTGCGGCAACCATATCGGAGCTTGAGCTCTAGCTGAAAAACTCTAAGGTAGGGATATTTTTGGCCCACCTTCCTCAAAGATGCAATAGAGCTGGTCAAAAGGTGCAAAACCTGCCAACTATACGCCAATATCCCACACTACCAATCAGAGCTCCTCACCTCAGTGGTTAGCCCTTGGCCATTCCAACAGTAGGGGTTGGACATACTTGGATCTCTTCCAACCAGTACTGGACAATGCAAGTTCGCAATAACTAGAGTGGACTATTTCACCAAATGGGCTGAAATGGAGCCTCTTGCAAAAATCACCAAGCAAAATATCCAGAGTTTCACCTAAAAATCTATAATCTGTAGATTTGGAGTACCTAGGACAATCGTCTTAGACAATGGGAAACAATTTTACTGTAAGGCCCCAAAATTCACCTTGGATGACATTACAATTTAAATTCATTTACATCATGAGAGCAACTAATAAAATTCATCAATAAAGAAATTTCAATAATCAAATGTAATATTTACAACATCATTCCCAAAAGAATATGCCAAAACCTGGCTATTATATCCCAAAAGAATATGATCGACTATGACAATTACATCTCAAAAGAATCACATTTAAACTTGCAGCGGAATAGCCAAAGATTAGTCTTTTCATAATCTCAAAAGAAATTTCTTAGTCTAGCACCTAGGAGAGTATATCCCTAGATATCCACCTCGGGATCCATGAGCCCGTCTAGTAGAGCTTCCCAATGTATCAGCTCCTCAACTCCAAGCTCCTCCTCTAGACCACAATTTAAAAAATATATAGTTTGTAAGGGGTGAGTACTAAGCTCTGTAGCAACATTCTCCCAATCTCGAATAAGGTTTAGAAAACATATAAAATAGTTTGGTCTCATTTTCCAAAATAGCATATCTAACTAGAAATAAAATAGTGACAATTTATTTGATCTCAAGTGTACGCAATCTCAATAATTTAAAGGAAAGGAATAAATATGTCGGAGTGATAGAAAAATAAATCATTCAATAACATGATCTCATATTCTCATGTATGTTGGTTGTTTTCCATGAATCTACACCACGATTCTACCTCGTTCACCCACCACAATCACACAATTCCAAACATATTAGGAAGGGCGTATACCGTCTCTCACGGCATTGATGAATCATTCCCAGAAAAGGTATACCAACCCTCAATCTCGAACTTACGTGAACAATAGTGGTTGCTCTCACAAACAACAATCCATTACAAGTGTTAGGCAACCATCTCACTCCCACTGGAATAGACTAACCTCTAACACTATATGTCACTGTTTAAATGTAATTCAAGTCCATCACAATAACCATACAAGAGATGCAATAACAAACATTTTCTCAATATCACAAGGAAATCCAAAATCCTCAAATTTCACAATTTGTAATACAAGAGAACAATTTAAGAAAATAAACAAGAGATCATCACAACATCATTTTATTACTCAACACAAAGAACTAGGGTTTCGAAATCAAGAACAAGGAAGAATCAAGAGGAAAATCCATTTATCTTGAAAACTAGGATTTTGTGCCAAGAAAAGAGGTTTAATGGCTATCCAACCATTATTTTGCTTAAAACATGGTGATCTTTGCAAGCATACCAAGAAATAAGGATTTCATAGCATATATATAAGATTTAGTGTCAAAAGAATACATATAGATAAGCCCTAGCCTCAATGTAAGAGAATAGGAAGCAACCCCTGCCTTGGTGTTCTTGAAAAAATTAAGGTTTTGATCCAATCCAATGTGCAAATTCCCTTTGATCTTGTATTTTTCTTTCACTTTCTTCCTTTCTAAGATTTCCTAGGGTTAGAAGTGTTGAAATGGGGCTAATGGAGGCGTCATTATGTATTTATAGGGTGAAAAATGGACCCTAAATCATGACTTAAAATTTCTGGAACTTACAGAGCATACCGGTATTGCGTACCAGTACGGTAAACTCTCTGGACAGTAGCGTACCAGTATGCAGTATCGATACGGTCTGTTTAGTTTTGCATGTTTCCTCTGTTTTTCATTTCTAATCTATTCCAAACCCTTCCAAAACCAACCCAAACTTATATAACATATATTTGAACATCAAACATAGTTGGCACAAGTTCGATTACAAAACATTTCATATATTTACTTGCTACTTATTAAAATAAAAGTGTGGGGGTTTACATTGACAATCTCATATTCAAAGGGTTTTGCGCTGAGTTGGGCATAAAAAAACTACTTCTCAGCACAGCTCATCCTCAGTCGAATGGACAAACAGAGGTAACCATCCGAACCATAAAAGCAGCTCTAAAGACCAAACTTGAGGCGTTGAAAGGGCGATGGGTAGAACATCTCCCCATAAGCATTTTGGGTATGCAAAACCACAGTCAGGTCAGTAACTCAAGTGATACCCTTCGCCTTGGTTTTACGGAACTGAAGTAGTGGCTCCTCTGGAAATAGGCATCTTCTCTCCAAGAATAGAGTTCTCCAACCCCGAGCATAATGATGAGTCACTTTTGTTCAACCTCGATCTCTTAAATGAAAAGAGAGACAAGGCCTTGCAGTGCATCCTAGATTAGCAGAGAAAGACAGCCAGATATTACAATAGAAAAGTCAGACACAGAAGTTTCAAAGTAGGAGATCTAGTCCTCAAGAAACTCCTCCTTGCAGGAAAGGACCCCACTCATGAAAAGCTAGGACTCAACTGGGAAGGTTCGTACATCATGACCAATGTGATCAGACTTGGGAATTATGAGCTACAAACGGAGGAAGGAAAAATCTTGCCTTATTCCTGGAATGTTGACCATTTGAAAAACTTCTTTCAATAACCATGATACTTATAATAGTTCATCAGCAATAAAAAGATGAAGTTTCAGCTCATTCACCATTCTATTACTAGCTTAAACAAGCAGAGAGCTCTTCAGCACATGAATAACCGATGAGCTCTACAGCACATGAATAACCGATGAGCTCTACAGCTCATGAATAAATGATGAACCCTTCAACTTATAAACAGACAATGAGCTCTTCAGCTCATAAATAACCGATGAGCCATTCAGCTCATAAAAAAAAATGACGAGCTCTTTAGCTCATAAACAAAAGATGAGCTTCTCAACTCATAAAAACATGATGAGCTCCTCAGATCATAAACACACAATGAGCTCCTTAGCTCATAAACAAACAATGAGCTCTTCAGCTTATAAACACGTGATGAGCTCTTTAGCTTATAAACAAACAATGAGCTCTTTAGCTCATAAAGGTGAGCTCTATAGTTCATAAAATTGACAATGAGTTCCTTAGTTCAGGAATATTAAGATAAGCTTTTCAGCTCACAAAAACAAAAGCTCTTTAGCTTATAAAATAATGAACCTTTCAGCTTTCCTAACTGCAATGACTTCTTCAAAAAGCTTCAAAAGGGAACAGACCTCATACTTGTCAAAAAGTTCACTTCCAAAAGAATAGAGTTCTCCTTGAAGCAAGGGGGTAAAGGGGGATGAATAGAATGCAAGATAAATATTTTTTCATTTCCTCAAATACAAGCTAAAGATTTTTCATTCCCTCAAGAAAAACTAAATATAAGATCAAAAGTTTTTCTCAGAAAACTATTGCAATAATTGCAGAAGCCCTAAATCTATGCAGATGGTCCAACAGTGGCTTCAAGCACTCAAAAGGAATAGCAGGAAGGTCAGGAGAAGCTTTAGGCAACTCAGGGACAGAAGAAGTAGTTGGAGGGAGGTCAAGAGGAGCCTCAATAAGGACAGGAGCAAGAACTTCAACTTCAGCTGGGGGCGGAACAGTCTTAGAGTTTCCCACCTCTACTGCCGAAGAAACTTGCCTAGAAGCCTAAGCCTTAGAGTCCATAGGAAGTTCAACCCCATCACCAATAGGGGACTCCTCCACTCCAAGAACAACAGGAGCTGGAACCTCCACCTCCTTTGTCAGCAGTTGGGTCTACCTTAGCCCTAAGGTCTTCATTGGTAAAGGCCAAGTCAACAACCTTGAGCTTGTAGGCTTTGGAGGATTTCTGAGAAGCCTCAGCAACACCCTCCAAGGCTCAAACTCAGCTCACCAAAGTACTCACGTGAATGACCAGCTAAAAAAGAACAAAAATTTAAGGTCAGAAAAGACTACCCATGCAAAAAAGAAACACATCTCTGAAAAATTCAAAACTTACCAAAACAGTTCCATATAGAGCAGTGGCAGCCGAGGTGGATAGGGGCATAGTGGAAATCTCCTGAATGTCAGACTCCAGGATCACGAAGACAATGGTTGCGACAGCCAAGTTCACATCCTTGATAAGGGACCATTTTCTTGAGGAGCTCAAAGATGAGGCAGAGGAGGCGCTATCCTAATCGACGTAGAGGCTAAAAGGCCTTGCAAGGAGGGAGCCAGGGAGCTCAGTGCACTATCCCTAGTCAAAGCTAGAGTTTTCTTGAGCTTCGCCTTAGAAATAACCCTCTTCTGAGCATCAGGGAAAACTAAGGCCTCTAGAATAGTAAAACCCCCCATAATAGAAGGCGATGCATTAATAGTTGTCTTTTGGGGAGGCAAGGTCGGCGGAGTAAGTGAAGGTGGAGGCACATCGAAGGAAGATCAGGTTTAGACCCGACTTCAACCTTATACTTTCCACCAGTTTTGCTCCTCCTCATTTGTGCCACCTTAGGCCATACAGCCTTAGCATTAGGAGCCATCAAGCTGGAACCTGAGAGAGTAAGTAGTTTAGCAAACACAGGGAAAAAGAAAGGAAGAACTAGAGATAAAGGGGGAGAAACCTTACCAATAGGATCTTTGGCGTCGACTACAGATATGGGAATGAGAGTCTCTACTAACACATCGAGAAGATTGAACCCGAACTGAGTCAGCACAGAATGCTTGATCAGGTTAGAGTATTTCTCATGACAATCTTAAAGGCCTAGCAGAGCAAGCCTATCATCCACTCCTAGATCGGGAAGAATACCCGAAACAATCCAAGGAGATAAGGTCAGCAAGAAAAGTACGAAAACAAAGTGAGACAAGTTAAACCTTTTCTAAACAACTACTCACCCAAGTTGTCAAGACCAGATCAAGAACGAGGAAAAGGAAGGGTGTCAGTAGCATTATTTAGGTCAAACTCCCATTTCTTCCCTGACACGAAAAAGAATAGTTTCTTCCAATTCTTATGGGAGCTCGATAGGATAGTAATTAAGGCTAGGGTCTTCACCCTTTTAGAGATATACATAAAGTCATCATAAGGGAACTTGACGTTTGAAGTACTTTATGAACAAAGGGACCAAAAAGGTACTGAGCTCGTTTTTTCTTAAAAAAGACAAGGAGACCCACCAAGATACCCCAGAAGTTGGAAAAAATCTGAGCAGGGCAAACGTTGAAGTGCTAAAGATCGGATTTGATGAAGGGGTGTATAGAAAACCTAAGACCGTTCTCCAAAGAGGCTACAAAGAAACAGGTCTTCTCATGCACCTCGAAGTCATACCTAATGTCTACAGAAGGGCACTAATAACGCATGCCCCTGGGAAAACCAAACCTCACAAAAAGGACACTCATAAAAGGAAGTACGACCTTGCTATGTCTTACAAGGTCTAAAGTACGAGAAGTAGGTTCAGTGTCCTCAGCATTGTCCAAGGGTCCAACCCTGCCCTTTTTGGCCTTCCTATTTTCAGGATCGCTTAGAGCTCGGGGAAGACCCTGGTATAAATAAAGGCACCTCTACCCTTTCCTCGACATTGACCCTAGGAAAGTTATCTATCTCATCACTTACATTCTCCAGGTCGTCATATTCAAGTTCAAGAGACCTATCACCCATGGCAAGGAAAACGGACAAAGTAGTGGCTTCGGAGGAAACAAATATGATTGGACATGAGAAAGGAAGATTGAAGGTAGTATAGAGGGAGGGAACATGAGTAACGCAATCCCTAAGAGCCAAAGGGTCAAGACACCAGCTACCGAAGAGAAAAATTCTAGCAGTAGAGTAAGGGTCCAAGAAGAGAGGAAGAAAGAAAAGGAATGACCTCGATTCCTAAAGTAACAGAAGGAAAAAGTCCAAAAATTAAACCATCACCTCAAATTTGAGGGATCCAGAATGAAAGGAAGCTTAAAAAGAAGGGAAGGAGTAGAGCAAAGGATGTACCTAGCCAGGAACGATCGAAAAACCATGAATGAAGGAAAAATTTGAATGAATTAGGCCAACCTCGCAGAAGCTTCAGAGTAAATTTGGGAATTTCCTACAAAACCCTAGATCTTCAGTGAATTGAGGAAGATGAAATCAAGAGAAAAATGAAAGAGAGAAGGTGAGGAGGGTCCAAAATAATGAAAAGAGGCAGTTTATCTGATGATGTATTTAAAGTCAAGCATACAGACATACACGTGGAGCTTTAAGGTAAGGAACGTGCATAAGAAACGAGGAACAAATGATTGCATGTTCACCATAACAGCCAAAACATGTCCAATCATGCCCATCTCGAGGTCTATCCAGGATAACCTCACTGACCCAAGGCAGAGCCCAGTCTCAGCTCATACCACCCCTGCTTGACCAGGGACTAGGGGGCAACTAATAGTACCTCGAATATGCCTAAGGTTGAGTTCAGTAACGTAGGTCATGCCTCTCAGGTTGGGAGCTCGGTTTATTTAAGTTATTTACAGACCTCGGCTTCAGACCTCAAGCTCCCTGTATCTGCATCTCAAGGAAGGCAGTACAGATGACAGCTGGATTCTAGCAAGTATCCCTTCAGTAATAGTAGTCACTTATCCAGGCACAAGACTTGTAACCGCCCCAGCGCCCACCGCAGCCGTTGTGCAATAAAGACGACCGTTACAAGAAATAAGCAAAGATCTCTCCTCACTTCTATATTCTCTGTAAAACCCTCATTATCAATATATTCCTCAGGAGCAAGAGACTCCCTTGAGAGTGACTTAGCTGAGCTTCCAAATTAGTGAACCACTATAAACTCTTTGTGTGATAACCCCATTCCCTTGATCCTATTCTTAAGAGCCTTGGAGCTCATATTGAACTAAATTAACTGTTTAGTGCACCTTGAATTCGTCCCTCCGCTAAGTTGTGTTAATAACATCATCAACTACAAATACAACTCTCTCTTATAACATTCACCACCACTCATCATTTCTCTTCTCATCATTGACATAAAAAAAAAAAAATAATATTCACATTACTTCATTTTTCCAGAATTATTTTTAACAAATTGTATTATCAAAAATTCTTTTATTTTGCTTTTCAAGTCAAAGACATAAGCTATTTCCGAAGTGACAACAAATTAGATGGTTCAAGGGACTATAAACAAAAGGTTCAATAGCAACCATTGTGGTTGCCTAAGCATTCAAATTATTACCAAAAAATTTTGAAATTAATAATGGAAACTCTTGATCAAATCACACAAAGCTAGATATACAAAATTAATGAAGCATGAAAACTACACAATTTTTAAAAAAAATGAAAATTCTAAAATCAAATAATCCAAATGCAGCAAGTATACGTGAATCTTTTGATTTCTTTTCATGAAAGCTTTTCCAAAAATACATTGACTAAATGAGAAATGCAAAACAAAGTATTTCAAATCTATACAAATGATTTTACCTTCACACCCTGTCACACCCCGAATTTTCACAAACCCAAGGAGTGAGTGAAAAGGGAGAAGAAAAGTAAATGAAGGGTCATGACGTTGGATAAATTGATTTTTCATTCATTTTCCACATTTTCTCAAAGTTTTTCAAGCCACTTTTCTTCTATTTTTAGCCTATTTCTTCAAGGTTTCTAAACCTCTCCTTTTGACATCCTTCCCACCAATTTAAAAGGTGTTTTACAAACTTAACAAGTCTTTTAATTTTTCATGAAATTTCAACATAACCTCTTTTTTTTTTTCCAAACCTTTTTCCCACCTAATGTTCATAAATATTTCATATGCAAAAGTATATCACAACCCACCCTCACTCGGTGGCCCACAATCTATGAAAATTAAACATACATCTTTTGTTTTCAACATACACATGTAGTTGTCTCAATATATAAATATGATACTCATTACATAAAGATATCCTACATATCAATTGGGTTTACACCCTTACACTTTAAAATGACCCAAAGTCTATAATCCATTACTTTTCCAAATTGAAATACAAGTCATTTGGGCTTATTCCCATTCATACAAAATATGCCCCAAGGCCAAATATCCATTCAAGCCCCTTTACCCTCCTTCCTTTAAGACTTCCTCAAGTCTCAAGTACTAGGAGCCTCATATGTAATATGATATCTCACGAATGGGTCAGCTCAACTGTTGGTATGACAAAGTGCTAATGCTAGGAATAAATTTAAGGCGTGACATGTGCAAGTGTACATTTTAAAAGCTGCAGTCCCGTAATCCCTCAATGTTATGCAATGTCAAACACCTAAGCTCTATCGTGAACTCTATCTCTCGTCTCGGCGATAGACTAGTCAAGTCATCTAGGAAGACATTTGGAAACTCATCCACTATGGGTGGTAACACACTCTCTGTAGTCCCACCCCCATCTACTACCAAACTAGCCAACATGTAACTATGACCTCCCCAACTCCTCGAGTCATACAAGGGTGGAACAAAGAAATCCCCATGATCTCCCGTGAAATAAAAGCTATCTCCCTCAGGAGTACACACTGTCACTCTCCCCCTGTAACAATCTATACTGGACTGAAAAGCAAACAATCAATCAATCCCAAAAATAATATCAAAACCAGACACGTCAAGCAGAATGAAGTCAAAATAAAGGATGCAATCAACTATCTCTATCAGGCAATCTCTACAAATCCTCGTCAATATCACACTACCCTCAACTGAGATGTCAACTTGCAATGGTGGGTCTAACTGATCTATGTCCAACCCCAATGTCATGGCAAGCATGGTAGATATGAATGAATGAGATGCACCTGAGTCTATCAGCACACTAACCCA